AAATCAATAAAGTATAAAGTAATAACTATGAAAAATATGTATATATTTAGCAAACATTTTTTCACAAAAATCTTTACTGCTTTAGTCAAAAAGGAAAGGTGGATGGATAAACCCACAAAACAAACACATGAACAATCACTCCCACAATCGGGGGATGGCCAAAGCCAGGTGTGTTTATATGGTTTTGATTATTTGATTAAAATTAGGGTAAGGGGTTAGGGCATATCCTCTATGTAAAATCATCTCCGGGAAGATCACATGTTACGATTTGATTGGCTATTAGTCACGTGACCGCACCTGGCTTTAGACGACCCCCACAATCGGAATGATCGGAGTTTCGTCACCTTTCATCAGTTCATTACCTTTCATCAGTTTCATCACCTTTCGTCAGTTTCGTCACCTTTCGTCACCTTTCGTCAGTTTCGTCACCTTTCGTCAGTTTCGTCACCTTTCGTCAGTTTCGTCACCTTTCGTCAGTTTCATCATTTCGTCATTTCAATTTTTTTTTTTGACGAAACCCTTAGGTTTCGTCTAACAACATTAGTTCTTAGCCTAACGTTAACACTAATTTATAATATTTCACATTTAACTCATTTAACTGTGGTTATTTCAGACAAGACGGCATCTCTATAATATTTAACATAGATGAATAAGCTAAAGGTTCCTTAGTCGTCAAATTCATTTTTCAATACTCTCATCTAATTCTTGCTAGTTTCCTTTTTAACTTATATATATATATTGTAACCATTATATATTAAAACTTTTAAATAAAATATTTATTCTGATTTCGTTGATTATAATTCTTAACGCGGTTTCGATAAAGATTAATAAATCTTGGTTGTTTAGAATAATAACTTGCATTATATATATTTTTAAACCAGTAATCAATTCTTGTTCATATTGAGCTTTTTTTCATTAGCGTCTGCTCGTGTAATGCATTTATTATATTTTTTGTCAATATCTGTTGGTTGGCAAGAACAACATATCAAGCATACTGGACATGCATTCAAGTGAAACCTTAATTTTGGATGCGTTGAGATTGTAATATCGTTCAAAATACAATTATAAAAATATCGATATATTCTCGAAGAAATTGCAAAGGCATTTTATTTTATCAGATGATTTTTTACCTTTATTAACTTTAATATTAACTTGAAGATTAATGAGTAATTTTTTTATAAATATTAGCCTTCCTAAAGGGTCATATTTATTTTCCCATTTGAAAGAAGAACCACATGCCACGGTATTCAAAAGCACTGATATTGATAACATAGACTTTCCTATTAGACCGACTGATAAAAGACCTTTTTTATTGTTTTGAGTTTCTTAGAACTGGAATTGTAGAAATTTAGATATAAGTTATTTAAATCATTTTGTAGTAATAATTTAATACACAATTATCTTTTTTTTTTTATTAGTGTTCTTTCCCGCATCTTACGAGAGAGGAATGTGAAGAGACTCGTATTTGCAGATACAGGAAGGTTTGATAACCGTAACATAAGTTATTAACTTCATATTATATTTGATCAATAATAAAATGAACAAGTTGCTTATACAGTTGCAGTGCATTTTCCACATATATTTAAAAATCGCCAGTACCTTCTAAACATAAAACGCCATCAGCACCAAAGAAATCGTCTAAAAAGAAAAAAAATCCAATACAGCTGATGATATTTATACATTGCAAATAATATAATTGCACCAGAAATTCGAGATTTATATGGCATGTCCGTTATAGAAAATAAGGATTCAACCAATAATTAAAAATGATATATTATTTTGTAAGTATTATGTAAGTATGTAAGGTATAAAGGTATTATAAGGGATGATATTATATTTCATAGAATATGATCTATACTGAATCTATAAGTTCACCTTTCACGTATTATTAAGAATCAACTTTTTTTTATACAACCGATTATAATTTTAAATGTCCAAAATACTATTTGTAAAATTATATAAAAAAAGATATTTTAACAGTTAAATTTCCAAAGTGATCAATATTTAGTTAATTAAATTAAACTAGAACTTTGTTATTACTTTGTTATTACTTTGTTATTACTTTGTTATTACTTTGTTATTACTTTGTTATTACTTTGTTATTACTTTGTTATTACTTTGTTAATTGATTAGCGATTCTGGTAATAAATCCGCACAAGGAAATTCAAGTTTTAGAAAAGATAAATTATTACCTCTGGTTTCACCAAGATTGATAATAGCAATATCTTTATATAGATCACTAGCAAGCTTGACGATTCCAAATGCAAAATAAGTAGTTAATGAAGAACCGACCACCAAAATACATTTACAATTTTTAACTAAATCTACAGATTTTGCCTTATATTATCTTTAACATTTTCACCAAAAAATACAACAGAAGATTTATAAATTCCTATAGAACATTGAACACAAGAAGAATAATTAAAAGAATCATAAGAAGTACCATATGGTAAATCTATATCACCATCAGGTCTTACAATCGGAGAAAATTTTCCCGATTCAATATTATTTAAAAAATCATTTCATTTAGGATTTAAATTACTTAAAATTATTTGATAATCAGATCTTTGATTTATATGACCACAATTTAAACAATGAATTTGATTTAAAGAACCATGAAGTTCTAAAATAATTTTTTTAGAATTAAATTTTTGATAAAGACCATCAACATTTTGAGTTATTATTTGTTGAATATAATTATTTAATTGTAATTTTGAAAGTACATAATGTAAAATATTTGGTTGGGCTTTTTTCATTAATGGTCAACCTAAATAAGATCTTGCCCAATATCATTGTCAAAATTGATATAAAGTTGTAAACTTTAAATAAACAATAATATATGATGATAAATATGTTAACAATTTGTTTTTTTTAAACGATGTTATAACAACAACAACAGTAGTAGTAGTAGTAGTAGTATAATAATCTTACTTCGTGATAAAATATTGGTCTATAATTTGTATTTATCACATAAGTTCCCTTTTGATTATATTTAATTAAAGAATAAATACTTTTTATTACTTTTTAATAACTTTTAATAATTTATGATAAATTTGATAATTATTATTACTCTTGGACCATGATAAACTGGAGTACCTGAATTCGTGCTAATACTTATAAAATATTTAGTCAAAATTGATTATTACATATAGATACGTATTATATACTTGCACCAGTTAAAACTAAAACTTTTCCATTACTACATTGAAATAATTCAATTAATCTTTGAATTGATTCTATTATTGATTTTGATTTAATTAATTTTTGATTTACTTGAGTTTTTGTTAAATAAGTTTTGGTAGGAATGAATATTTTCATTCTTTATTATTGAAATTGATCTTCAATCACCCAATCACGATATGTATGTACAGAAGTATGTACATACGACTAATGAATGACTTTCAATTTATTTTATTCAATGTTTTTTTTCACATAGTCTATATGTAAAATCGAAGGTTAATATCGATATAGTGTAAATGATTATTTAACCGCTCTACAGTAATGATAATAAACTAGACTGAAACACTTTTACAATTATAAAAAAATTGGTATATTGGATATGTTTACTTGCAAAAATAACTAAGCTGTTATAAATTCGAAGTCGAATACTTTAATAAAAATGGTTTTTGAGTAATATAATTGTTACAGGTTATAATTATATCAAAAGTTATAATGATAATACAATTAAAACTTGTAATAATTTATTTTATGATATACATTTGTTTAATCAAAAAAAAACTTATTATTTACTTGACAAAAAACTTTTTTATTTAATAATAATAAAAACTTTATTAACTTATTTAATAAAAAACTTTATTTTATAACTTATTACATAACATATACATTATTTTATAAAAAAATAGATTTATAAGATCGTTATTCAAAAATAAAACTTGTTTGATCGAATTTCTTAAATTGACACCAACTAATCGACAAATTATCTACTCACTAAAAAATAAATAAATAAAGTTTAGGGGTATTACTTTTTTAGCATACGTACGTATAACTCAAAAAAAACGAGCTATTACGCAAAATTAATTATATCATATTATTGGTATTATGAATAGTTGTCGCAAAATTAATTATATCATATTAGTGGTATTATGAATAGTTGTGGTGTATAGGTTAGTAAAGTAGTCGTGTATACTACAAAAATCACATTTGAGATATAAAACTACTATATTTATAATATTTTCAGTGTTGACAGCAATAGAATAAAGCAATAGAAATTAGAATAGAATTAGTAGCAATAAATGAATAGAACAATAGGATAAAATAATAGAAACTAGACGAGAATCTAATTTTTATCAAATAGAACAAAAAAATGACAACGCTGTATATATAAATAATCTAAATTTTACAAGTGATCTCATGAAAATTCTATAGAAATTTATTTATCATTTATCATTGTACATTGTAACTTACAATGCAAGTTACGTGACTCTAATGTAAGTATATAGATTTAATGCTGGCCAGAATTATGATAAACTTGGCACAAAAGAATCTGGGTTGGATCCGTGAGTTACAATTTCATTAGTAAACCTTTAGTGATCTTGAACAAAATTAGTTGATTCTGGCCCTTCCGATCTTGGTTCTGAGGTATTCCGCTTGGAAATTTGGAGAACCTTCTTGTATGGTTCTACTTTATACTACTTTATTATTAAACCATATATTACAATTGTATACAGTTCTTATTCAAGAACTTTATTTTTTTAAATTGAATAGTACTCGTGGGTATTGTGTGAGAAACCGGATACTATGTGTACTATATGTGGAAATATATCATATAAAAAGTAATAAACTAATATAGTTATTAGATGGATCTTAATCAAAGGGCATATTATACACGATATATTATTTTATACACAATAACCAACCATACTCGCGCTCATTTACTTAAATTATACACCAGAACTATTCGTAATACTGAAAAAAAGTAATACCCCTAATATGATATCATTGATTTTGCATAATAGTTCGTTTTTTTTTTTTGCGTTATACGTACTTTTTTTTAAATCAATTTGATTTCATATGCACACATCGAAATCGCACACAAAAACAAGTCACTGATGACTTTAATTATAACACGTTTTTTCTATCTATTGCACACACGAAATTTGTAAAAACATTCCACTGCCAAAAATGTAATACCCCTGATATGACATCAATGGTAATACGTTTTTTCTATCTATCGCTATTATCTAATCAATTGCGAAAGCGTCAAAATCGCGAAATTTGCGAATCCCAAAACAATGCAAAAAAGATATAAAAGAGATGCTTTTTTTTCACTGCCTTTTTACTCTTTAGTTAATAGAAGTTAATAGATGAGTATTAATTTTTTTTATTAATTCTCATTCGTAATTGGTCTCCTATGAATAAACGCTTCTCTGAATATCGCCCCTAGGATTCTAGGTTAACACCTGATAGCAGTTTGGGTGTGTACACCATTATACCGAATTTTTAAATTTGAAAATTTTTTGATTATATTATAAAACGTTATTTATTATTTGTTTTTATTTTTATTTTTTTATTTTATTTTTATTTTATTGTTGTAAAATTATATGGTTTATCTTCCCAGGGAGATAAGTTAACGTTGTCTATATGGTTTTGCAATAAGAATTTTAAAGCCAAATAATAAATAATATATTTTTATTTTTAAAATTTAAAAATTCACTTAATGTGTAGTACAAATATAATTATTAAGAATGTTGGGATATTCTTTTAAATATTTCCCGCCATTTGGGTCGTTGACAATGCTATATTCGGAACTTTTAGGTCATTTCAATTACACTACGTAACCCTTATTTTTTTTTTTAGTGAGTAGATAATTCGTCGATTAGTTGGTGTCGATTTAAGAAATTTTATAAAATAATATGTAATAAGTTATATAATAAAAGTTTTTTATCAAGTAAATAATAGTTTTTTAAAAGTATGTTATAAAATAAATTATTGAAAGTTCTATATCGTTGTAAGGTTCTCAGTTATTGCAAGTTTTTTTAACATTAAATATAATCATATAGGATTTCATGTTATATACAAATTATAGATCAAAGTATAAACTATTTATTTCTATTATTCTTATCATATTCTTGAAATTTTCTTAAAATCTTTATCCGATTCATAATATTTTCCTTCCTCGAAATAATAAAGATTTGTTTTGATATAATTAACTAAATTTCGACTAGAATTTAAATCAATATTAAGTTCAAACCCAAAAGTAATAATAAATCTGTTTGGACTCTTTTTTTCGTGGAATTGTCGCCTAACTTCTAGAGGTAATCTTCATAATATCTCTTTTTTTTTAGTTTGTTAAATATTTTAGAAATGAATTGTCTACAATTAATCGGATTGGATACGTATCATTTCATTGACGATCACTTCACCGAAAACCCTATCACACAGCGTAATGAGTAATATTGAACAATAATTATTAATCACCAAACAATCGTTAAATATTAACCATCGCTCTGTGCGATGGGGTGTTCGGCGAAGCGATTGTCGATGAAATGATACGTATCCAATCGGATTATTAGTCGGCGAAATAGTAAGCATCAAAGGTTTTTTGATAGGAACTCTTTTAAGTTTTTCAAGCAATTGGATTTGAATTAGTTTTACTCGAAAATTCAGTTGTAAGTACGGGATATACAAAAAAAATATAATTAATGATTTGACGAGTAATAACGTAATGCATTGTTGATCTTGCGCGGAATAAAGATGTGTGGCATATTTGTAAATTGTAATACTGTTGAATGAATTCATCCGTTCGTTTTAACGTGCCTTGATAATTAAAAAAATAGATATATATCAGCTAATTAAACTCTTTAAATACAATCTCCTCTATTCTTAGTAATTTTTCAAATCTCGTTTCTATGTAACTATGTAATAATCTTACCTTGATAATACATTGATTCTTGGGAATTTCCATTTTATTCATTAAGAAATTTTGACTATGCAATCTTCATGAATAAAAAATTATTATAATTCAAGTTCTATCGTAACGAATTAGAAGAAATATATCCAAAGTCGGTCAACTAAGGTAATGAAAGAGAAAAACAAAATATTTGGTGTTATAGAGCTGACTTAATTCTTTTATTTATTACAATAACTTAACATTGATGTTTTCAATAAAATCAACATTTTTGATTATTGTACATTACTAATTATATGCTCAATTCAAAAGTTTATCACTGCCGAAATCAAATCAACAAATAATCATTCGGCCAATTTTTTACTAGATATCCCAAAAATAATGAAAGCAGCTGTAAAACATAATAACTTTATTCAAATTTTGGGATCCAAAATCGAGAGGGTATCTTTTATTCGGTAATATACGATAAATGTAATATATGAACACAAATACAACTATTTTATATTACTATTCAAATTACTGTAACTAGATGTAATCTGGTTCCATTTTACAAATGTTTAAACAGATAAAAAAAAACAAAATCTTTAGCAATAAAGAAAATTCTTTACATGTTAGTGTTAGCATTAATAATTTATTCGTTATTTGTTTAAAAAAAATTTATCATTGCATTGATAAAATTGGCAGCATACCTTCTAGCAACTGTAGTACTGTTACACCCGAAACTACCTCTTATAAGTTCAGTATAACTAATTTACTAATTTACTTTAGCACATATATGTTGGACGATTGATAACAAATACCGTTATATGCTTAATTAAAGTATATGTGTTGTTTCAGTTATGCTCTTAGAGGTTTATGTGATTTGATTTTACGAAAGAGGCTACAACT